TAGGTATACAATACATTTACATTTATCTTTCGGTACTTGTATCTGTACATGATGTATCTTGGTTCTTATTTTTTCCCCATTACCTGTGCGCCCTTCACCCCCTCCACTCTTCCTTATTTACATAGACTTTGTTTCCATTTTTTTCTTTTCTCCATAATTTTCCCTTTCCATTCTTTCCTTTCCACATCTCCTCCCACCACCCCTACCCCTTTGGACCTTTTCCTATTTCAAAGTATCAATTATTCATTATTAATCCTTTTAATCCTTATTTACACTCTCAGTTTCTCACACTGGAGAAACTATTCAGTATTTACACATGTGTGTCCTATTTATTTCACTTAAGAGTATGGCCTCAGTATCGCTATAAACATGGGTGCACATATATCTCTGTGGTATGATTCTTCTAATTCTCTGGGGAAGATCCCCAGCAGGGGAATAGCGGGGTCAAATGGGACTTCCAGTCCTAGTTCTTTGAGGTATCTCCATACCGATTTCCATAGTGGTTGCACCAGTCTGCACTCCTTATCTCAACCTGATTAAGGCTATCTATGAAAAACCAACAGCCAACATCATATTAAATGGTCAAAAACTGAAAACTTTCAGGAACAAGACAGGGATCCCCATTGTTTTTGATAGTACCTTTACGCCTAAAGCTGTCCATGTTCTGCTACAAATAAAGCCAGGTCCTTAGCTGAGACACAACTCTTCTGGACTCCTTCCTCATTCTGTTCTTGTGGAAAGATTTGGAACAATTGCAGCAGAGCTCTGGTCCAGGGTAACGGTCAGCTTCATTCTGAGTGACACCTTTGCTTACTAGTTGGACAGAGACAGTAGCCTCTGGTCTTCTCAGCTCACCTGCACTATAGACAAGCTGGGGGCCGGGCATTCAGAGCCCTAACTCATAGCCTGCTGTGCCTGGTATAGTGCTTCTGTCAGATGGATGAGTGCTAGGACAAGGGCACTCTGTCTCTCAGCCACCTTGCTAAGAATTTAGCTTCTGCAGCTTGGAGTTTAGAGGGGCAGACAGTCATGGTTTACCTTTCCTTGTATCCTCTGGGTGTTGATGGGAGAGGGAGCCCTACTTTTCTGATCACCCCCAATCAAAATAGTGCTTCCTTTATTGGAGGTTGGTAAGTAGGAGAGGGTTATGGCTGAATGGCTTCACTCTTTCCTCTTGAAATTTAATAGATATTTTGTATAAATATTTCTTAATGTTTTGCTTGGTCTTAAGATAATTTCCAGAAGCTTTAAAGAATTGTTGATTGTGTTAAATATATTTTTTAACAGTTATGTTTGCCTTAATTAGGATGAGTTTCACAAAACTCCTCACTGTGCTGTTCTGGAGGTACAGTCTGAGCCAGGTTCTTCACATTCACCTAAGTTAAAGTGAATCATGACAATCATATAAATTAAGAAAACAAAAACCTTATAAAAAAAGAAGGCCTCTTCAGGTCTGGATTTCTAACCAGTTAGACTCAGCCAGAGCTTTCTTCTCTGATTGAATTCTGTTGAAAAGTTTAAGAACTTTGCAAGATACTTTTGACTAAGCAGCCTTAGGATACTCTACAGCCTATTTTTTCTTTCTTCTAGTAATGTGGAGTTTACATTTAAAACTTCTGCCTCTAGTTTGAAATTCTTATTTTAAGATGATCTTAGAGTCCCTCTCTTCATTTACATGATAGCTTGAGGCTGTTGATGATTCTTTAAGCTAGAAATTTAAATGTATTCATTGAGGTCAATTTCATCAGAATGTATGGAGTTCCACCCTGAGCCATACAACAACCTTGCTCTTGGTGCAGTGGGAGACTCCTAATAAAGATCTTATGATTTGGAGTCTTGAGTATCCATTAATTTGGGATTCAGATAGCTAAGAATAGGTAATTAAATTCTGCTACTTTACAGGCATGTGGTTAGTACTGAGATTCTCTCTGGCAGTTATGTCTCCAGGAGCATCATTAGAAGAGTCAGAGTCAGTAGGTTTTCCCATTCCATCATGTGACTTCTTTGGCTCCTTAGTAAAATCTTTCACAAAGAGCATCTTACCCAGCTTAAGGGCTGCCTCCCTTCTCTGGACATTGCGTTACATCTATTGTCAGGAATCTTCTTTCTTGGTCCTCCTACAATGATGGCATAATTTTCTCAATGTTTTATTGCCAATAGTCAGTTCTATTAGTCTTCTCTATGAGAAGTGAATGAGATTGCCCAGGAGAGCAGACATCCAGAAATATATATATTAAAATCACCATTACAAAACTGACATAAATATTGGACCCAATTGTCTAACTCCAACCTTCAAGTTAGTATAATTTGTTGACATCTCTGTCTTTTTTCCTGGCTATCTTCTTGTCTAAAAGTAGTCTAAAGTAGTGCTCCCTACTTTCCCTGTTTCCTCTTTTGACTTTTCTGTCATGTAAATTATTAACCTAACAAACCAACCTTCTACGCCAGTCATTTACTAAACACTGGAAGGACCCCATGTAGGAAGCTTCATACTGGGTGCTGGTTCTTGCCATCAATGAGATAATTTTCTTGACCTTAGAGAAGGTTTACAGTCTCATGAAGGGGAAAATATGCAAATAAGCAAATGTAATAATAATAGTGTTATATAAAAGAGGGATATGCAGGACACCAGAGGTCTGACTCATAGGCTGGATCTCACTTCTGTAAGACAGTAGAAGTCAAAAGAAGGTTCATCTCCAACAAGTGGTGATTCACTGAGCCATAACTACACAAGTAGAACAGACTGGATTAGGTAAAAAGTGAGAGGCATACATTCCAGGTACGAGGAAAATCCACACACAAAGGCTCCATTTACACTATTTGCCTTTTTAGCTTACAGTTGGAGTAGTCCAATAAAAGGGCATTTCGTAAGTCTATGTCCTTATTTTATGTCTGCCCTTTCCTCCTGGTGCCAGCCTTCTTGACAAGGAGTAGAGTAGCATTTTCTGACACAACATCTAACATACATAGAAGGAACTTAAAGTGTTAAAGTATGTGGAATAATGAATGACATAAATTCTTTGATCCTTATGCAGTTTGAGAGCAGTTGTTTGCCCTGAAGATTAGTTGTGAGTCTTCTTCATATAGTGCTACCAGCTCCTGTGCCTTTGTTTCCTGCCTTTAGTTAGATAGGAGACTGAGTATGGCTGGGACTTTCACTGGAAGGGCAAAAGAGATGCCCAGATTCTAAAGAGGTGAATTGTGAGTTAAAGTCTGGCTTATAATCTTATTGTGTTTAATTTTAAAAAGTACGTACTTTGACCTGTGTCATGTACATGTAGGTGAAAAATAGGATAGTTCAAGCCACCACTTTGGCCTTGGCAATCTTCCTTGTTTTATTAAAAAATGTAGGATTAATAAATACTCCTAACATGTAGCGGGAAAGTACCAGATTTGGTATTTCATTCTTTCTGAGCTATGTACTCCTCATTTAAGGGTCTAGAACCTTAGAACCTATCAGCAACTCTGACATTTGCCTTTTTGTGATCCTCCCAGGCTGACGGCCTCCAAGGGATCCTGGACCATTCCCTAGGAGAGACCAGGAGACCAGCCCTCCCCTTCACCCCTTGGGTGTCTCCATAGTGTACCACACAAAGGTGTAACTGTGCATACACCTTCTGTTTTTAACAAAGGGCAGAATTCCAAGCATGTTGGCTTTATGTCCTATCCAAAATAGGTACAGGCTCCATGGCTACCACATTCCCTAAGCCCCTCCCTCACCACAGATCAACTGTCCCTCACCAGCCTGTTGCAACACCTCACCCTCAATATTTCCCAGAGGTAACTGCTCCCCCTAACTATGGGCCTGCCTCCTGGGAGACACACACACACACACACACACACACACACACACACCAGAAGCTGATTCTCAGGGATATTACAGAGACATGCCTTAAAGAAGAACCAGTTTCCTTTCTAGGTACCACAGATTTGCATGGCAATACTTCCTCCAGCAGTCTGGCCATATTATTATTATGCAAAAAGTATATATAATTCTTTTTCTCCATCCATCCCCACCCTCCTCCTCCCCATCCAATTTTAAATTGCATTCTCTAGGCCTTCTGGGAATCAGAGAAGGGGCTATTGCGGGGCCTTTACTCCTCCAAGGCTACTCTTTAACAATGAGATGCTTTGCTATTGCAGTTCCATTAAGGAATAGATTAACTCCTTATCTGAGAGTCAGCTTTACCCTCAATTTCCAGCTAGGCAGGAGAGGAGGCAATGGATTAATCTTCCCTTGCATAAGTATAGGTAATTGATGACCTGTGTGGCACAATAGTGAGGCCACATAGTTCGACAAAGGATTTATTTTTTTTTTTGAATCATGATTTATTTTCATTGTCTTACAAAAGAATAAAAATCAAAGTGGATCTTAGCATTATGTGCCACATTGAAAGACTCACCTCTCCTGCAGAAAAGAAAAAAATTATACAAACTCTCCAGAAAACTCAGCCAGCATGGTCATCATTGCTTTATAATATATACTAGGGCTAATAATGAAAAATAGTCACGTCTTTAAAGAAATATAAAGAAAATATCTTTAATATCACAGCCATGTGTCCTGGTGAGGCTAAAATTGGGTAAAGGCAAAGCTGAATGCCAAATGATAATTTCTGCTAAATAATTCAGTTCATGTGAACTCTGATATTTTACTTACTTTAATGAGTATAATGGGTGCAATTACAGGCTGCTTTTCCTCATGGTGCCAGACACAACGTGCTCTCGCCTAATTGTGGGCTCCATTTTTCTTTGGGTAACTCATTTCTGCAAAATTGTCCTGTAATCCTACTATTTGATGTTAGTATCCACTAAAAATGGATGTGGGAATGGGACCCTAAGTAAGTTTTGGGGATGATTATTGTGAAGAAGAGATTGCAGAACAATGACGAGAACTTTCCCTGAGCCATCCTGAGATAAAATTCCCTTACAGAAGAATGGAACAGGAAAAGGAAGTGGGCAGTGGGATCTCTCTGACACTGTTTCCTCTCCTTCTGCAACAGGGAAGTGATGCTGACACGGTGGATAAGAACAAGTGCTGCACCCTCTGTAACATGTCTTTCACCTCCGCGGTGGTGGCTGACTCACACTACCAAGGCAAAATCCACGCCAAAAGATTAAAACTATTGCTAGGAGAGAAAACACCATCAAAGACCACAGGTATGTGTGTGACAGTGATCCGGGGAAGACACTGAACACCAAACACTGCGCCAGTCACACAGCCCACGCACCTTCTTGAGAGGCAGCTGCCAGCAGCAGAGTGTAAATGGCAGGTGTCATTCAAAATCCAGAGGATTGATGTGGCACCAGCACACCTTGCTGTTTTAGACCTTTGAACACAATTTCGGGTGTTCATTGTATCAGTTCTTCAGATTAGCAATGAAGCAGCTTTCATCTACTGAAAAGCTGTTTACATTCTGCAAGATGCTGTCTATCACATCTATTATAAGTTACGTAAAATCTTGTGTCTATTATGTTCTCCCTAGATTCGGGATATAATCAGCATGGATAATAGATGGTGTACAGTGTATAATTGGTAGATCCTCTACCAAAACTGTGTAATGAAGATATCATCTTGTTCTGACTTTGAGAGGAAGGGAGCAGAGAGGAAAACCACTTTGGTTTGCAGACAACCAAATGTTTATGACATTTCTGTCATCTTTGCAGGGAATCTTGTGATTCAAGCACATTCATTTTCACCAGGTTACTTGATCTTCTATTTGCTTAACTAAAAAGTTTCTTCAGAGGCTTATCCAATCATGAAAGTAAAATATTTTGATAATTTAATAAAGATAGACTTTTTGGACAAGGTTTATACTGTGGTAAAGATGTTACTTAGATGGGGTACTAGTCCAAAGAGGTTGCGTGCATTTTTCATGATGTCTACTCTTTCAATGCAATTAAAATTTGGCGGTGCATTTTCTCTTGGTGTCTAATGAATCGTGCATAAATCGTGGGTGTAATTATTTTTTAAGTGGTATTTTGGAAATTGGAGAGAGTCTAAAACAATGCTTGGCTTTTATCTTCACCAGTGTTTTTCTTAAGAAAATGTCTTCTTTTACCTAGAGAAAAGCAAGGAACCTTTTCACTGCATTTTTCTACTTAGTCCAACTAAAGAACATGGTTTTTATAAAGGTGGCTGTGACGTTGGGGCATAGAATGGGGCTATAAAACACATGAATTCTGGAGACAACCGCAGCTTGGTTGAGAGCACACTATGTGGCTTGGCATTTGGTGAACAGCCACTTGGTTGAGACTCCTGATTCGCTCTCTGAAAGGTTGGATATTCACCTTGTAACTTACTCTTCATCAAATATCTCAAAATAGATGCCTCAAAGAAGTGGCCACTGGAAAAATTTTACCTGTATTCCATGAATGAATAACCAGCCCATTTGTTCTCCCTGGCTAAGCAGAGTACTGCTGGTAAATTTAATTCCAGAAGTAGTAATGAAATAGGAGAGGCTTTATCTTTGTTTATTAAATTGATTACCAAATAGCAGAGTTACCATTTCTGTGAAAAGAATTACCACCTGACAAAGATAATTCTTTGGGAATTTAAATACATCCACAAGATAGCCAAACACCAGATTGTTTTCCTAAATTCAAGTATCCTCAGAGTTGGTACGTAAAACTCAGGGGTAATTTATAAGTTGTCATCAATATATTCCAAGGGAAAAGCAAAAGCACATAAAGTGGACACTTTACTCCATGACTTATCCTTGATCAGTATCCACTGGTTTCAACACTGGGATGCTGGTTAGACAAGGAAATGGGATGGTGGAGTGAGCTGCACCAGTAGCTTGAGTTGGGGAAATCATACTCTAGTTGTAGTGTACCAGAACGCCCTTTTTCTCATTCAGTTCCCGTTTCCCTTCCCCGGCTGTTCTTAATCCATTTCCCTCTGAAGTGGCTTTGAGGAGAAAGGGTCTTAGAAAGGGGTCACCCCAGACAGAATTGGAGAATCTGGGAAGCTAAATTAGTCCCCAAGCTTGGGTTGGGGTCCATGCAGTGGCTGGCAGAGAGCACAGCAAGCAATCTACCTGCTGGTGTTATCAGGAGTCATTGGGTACAAGGGTGAGCAGAGAGAGGCACTGGGAGGAATGGAGACTTGAAAGGTGATGAGAAGACAGAAAATTCAGCAGTGGAGTGTGTGGGTGCAGAGAACATGCAGATGATCAAGCAGCAAAGTCTGGCCAGTGGGACAGAGCCTTGGAAGCAGTCCTGGGATTCTGGAGAAAGGGAAGGCTATTATGGGTAATAAAAAGACACCATCATTTAAGAGCAGGGTACTGCATTGGAAACTAAGTGAGGAAGAAAATTAGGAAGCTGGTTCCCAGATTTAGGGTATAGGTTTAGGGCTAGTCTCAATTTGCCTATTATAAGAATAGAGCAAAGACCAAGAGGGACCAGAAAAGAATACTCAAGCCATGGGGTCCCTCCAATGCCTTGACCAAGTTGGCACCACTGTCTTTCCTTGCTGTCTGCAGTAGGTCCAGCTGCAACTCCTCCAGGCCGTCCCCTTCCAGGCTGAGGCTGCACTGACACATGCAGGAACTGCTTGGCCTAATCAATCAGCTGAGCTAGAAAGTGCATCTGTACAAAAACAAAAGGAAAAAAGAGAATATATGAAACCCACAGAACTGAATGAAGATGCCAGAGAGAAGCAGCTCCTGGGTCAGGGAAGCCACGTCAGCTGCCCTACTCCAACAAGGATGCCACCTCACCTGGCCTCCATGAGTAATAATAGGCTCTTTAGCAATTTCTGTGTGGGAATGACAGGAGCTCCTAGCTGCTCCACCTGGTGAGGTGAGTAAGTGGGGCCTCTGAGCCATGACCTTTTTCTGCCTCCAGCTGCACTTTAATGCTCCACCAGCTGAGTATCCTAAAGCCCTGGCTCTTGTTCTAGTTGCCTTCTCCAGATAGGTGCATGCTGATTAGAACTTTGGAAATTCTTGGCAGAGCCACTGGAACCCAAACCAGTTCTTGTTCTTCTGGTCAGCATATTTCGAAAATCTGTCCTGGTTCATGTTTCTCTGGGTCTTTTTCTGAAGGATAGGAGGGACTAACTCACCATGTGCTCACAGGGCCAGCAGACCTCAGTATGGCAATCCTGCCCCAGTGAGTGACGAGGTTGAGGCTGTAGTCACTTCTGGGAGCAGAAACCAAAGAAGCCACACTGTGAGGAGGACCTAGAGGAGACTCAGAGGACAGAGCCCAGAACAGGATGTGTTGGTCAGATTTATATCACTACAATTGATACTTGAGATAATCAACTTATATAAAAAGGTTTAGTTTGCCTCACAGTTTTGAAGCTTCCAGTCCATGATTGAGTGTACCCATCGATTTAGTCCTTCTGTAAAAGGGCAAGACATCGGCGTGGGTGTGCACAGTGGAGTGAAAATGTTCCTCTTATGGTCAGGAAGTTAAAGAGAGGAAGAGAAAGGAGCTGAAGTCCCACTTCGCTCTTTGAGGGCACATCCTCAGTGAGCTGAAGACCTCCCTCTAGGCCTTGCCTCTCAAAAGCTACACCACTTCCCAGTAGCATCACAGGCTGGCAACCCAACTGGTAGCACATGGACCTTTAGATGACACCTAAAACCCAAATTGTAGCAATGGAATACAGGAAAAATGTCTCATTATAACTAAAGGAAGGAGGGTTGTTCAGCACAGAAATCACTTGGGGGGCAAACCTTTGAAAAATAGTCATAGGAAAAAGATAGTTGTGGAGTGAGGGTGTGTGTGTGTGTGTGTGTGCACACGCATGTGTGTGTTTGTGCATGTACACATGTATGTATCCTTGGATACAACCATTATAACCAGTGAGTGGGTAAAAGTCCGGGAGACATGAGCTAAAGCTAAGGTGTTTATTGACATTCAGAGGAGCTTCCGGTTGGAATGTGTGTGTGTAGGAGCTGTTCACAGAGGCTGGCTGGTGGCTTAGCCAGGCATTTCCAGCTGGGATTCCAGCATCACTCAGTGCTTAGCCTAGGTGGCATTTAAAGTCCCTCCAATGCTGAGATACTCAGCCAGCTGCCACTTACAGACTGAACTCCCTGACACAGCTTGGCAGGTATTGGAGCCAGGAGAGAGGTCGTAAGCCCAACTCTGCCCTCCCTGTTGTATACTCTTTGGCAGCTCCATTGTGCTATCCAGTTTGTTTTCTCCTCTGTCATCTCCTTTTAATGCTATGCAGTGTCTCTTACTGCCTTTCAGATCATGGATATGAGGGAGGGACTGGCCCGACTTTCCCTTGTTAGAGCCTCTGATTTTCTGTTACTGTTTGGGTGCCTACCTGCTACCTTGGCTAGTAAAGAAAGGGACATTTCTCAGGAAATAGAACTTTCTAGGATGAGTTCTGTGAGATGAGGTAGGGCCTGGCCCTGGAGCTGCCCAGGAGGGGATGCAGTACCTGTGGGCATGGGGAGGAGGGACTGGGAGCCTGTGAGTAGGGCAGAGCCACAGAACCAAGAAGGCAGAGGGCTCTGGGCAGGAAGGAAACTTCACAGGAGGAGAGCAATACAGCCAGAAAGCAGGCCATAGAACTCTGAACTAGCAAGTAGAGGCAACAGGAAATCATTTTCCTGATGGGAAGTCAGGATAAAATTAAGGACCAGGATGCCAGGATGAGGGTCCAGAAGTACAGAAGAAGCCCTGTTAGAGTAGAACTGCAAAGTGGTGAAAAGGCTAGAAGCTCAATGTCAAACCTCAAGATCAGACTGGAGTGACTCTTGCCCTACTTGCCTTAGATTAGCAAGAAGCCTGTCAAGGGGAGCTGTGTCTATGGGTACAGTGGATACTTCCAACAGGTGAATAGGAGGGGGCCTGAGACATCCGGGAGGCCATGTGTTGTATGATGACTTCCTCCTCACTCCTATATATAAGAGGCCTGTGCATTACACTAACCTTTACTTTTGTACCACTTCATTCCCAAGTGGCTGCTTGGGTGGCCCATAGAATACCTGTTATATAGCTGCATGTTGGCCACTGTTAGAGATCCAAGAGCAAGATAATAGACTAGAAGCCAAATTAATGGTTCAGCAAGTTGTCCATGTCTTAATATCCTGAACTTGTGGATATATGTTACACCTCAGGAGAAGCAAGGCTTCCAGTGAAATTAAGATGGCTAGTTTGCCAATTTTGCAATGGGGAGATATCCTTGA